ACCAGATGCTGTACACGTCACCGCGGTGAGTGACTGGGCAGACGGTATCCGCCCAGAGCGTGTGCCCATCACCAGATGCTGTACACGTCACCGCGGTGAGTGACTGGGCAGACGGTATCCGCCCAGAGCATGTGCCCATCACCAGATGCTGTACACATCGCCGCGGTGAGTGACTGGGCAGATGGTATCTGCCCAGAGCATGTGCGTGTTGGCCACTAATCCAGACCACAGCGCTGTGGCGAGTCGGTTCATAGTGTTCGCCCAGAGCGTGTGCGTTCTTGTGGATGCATGTGTACAGCATCCGGGCAAGTGAGTCGGTGCACAATATCCGCCCAGAGCGCGTACTCTCTCACACCGGTGCTAATGAGCACTTGTGGATGGAGCGGCGTCTAATTCGACCCCTGCCGACCCCTACTAGTCCTCATAACACCCCGGCCCCGAGTCCGATCGGCAACGGACATCCTATCCCCGTCGGCCCGACAAAGTCATATGCTATGACACACCAGCCCTCACCTCTCCGCCAAAGTCTCCTAGACACTAGCAGCCACCGTAGCACAGTCGCTTAAGTAATGCTTGGTCCGTGCGCAGCCTGACTAGTATATAAGGAGTCCCTTTGTCGCTACCTAGCCCCATCTCAACCTCTTGGTTAATTGGGCTAGATAAGCCTTCGTTTGTATCGTAGTACAGTCACTAATACAACTTGGTTAATTGGGCTAGCTGAATAAGCTAACGCACAGTCGCCAGACCTTGTCAGCGCCGCCTTCTCGTTAGATCCACGTAGCATCCCTCGTGGTGTGTCGACGTTAGTCCACATCAACAGCACTGTAGCAAGTCAGTTTATAGTGTCCGCCCAGAGCGCGTACTCTCTCACACAGGTGTTGTTGATGAGCATTTGTAGATGGAGTGATGTCTAATTTGATTCCTGCTGACTTCTACTAGTCTTCATAACATGGTATTGTTTCATATAAATGTCTGTAGTATGTTCTTCCTGATTGCTATCATGAGTGAAAAAAGTAAGACTTAGTTAGAAAGAAACTAAGCTTGCCTTCTAACCGAGTTAGGTGGACCAGGCATTAGGTCGACTTCTGCCTCAGGCATTCAAGAGAGAGAATTTAGGTCACAAGCAAGGATATGCTTATAGAGAAAGACTGGGAGTGCTTCACAAATAATTCTACTTGAAGATAAACTACAAGCAGAGATGTGACACCAACAGAGACCACTGGAAGACAGCTGTGTGCTATCAACCTAGTGAGACTAACATGAGATGTAGACATAGATGTAACATAAGACAAAAGCTCGTATACCACGCTTCAGCACCGAGTTGCTGAGTGGACTCAGAGCACATAAGAAGGCACCTGTATACCACACTTCAGCACTGAGTTGCTGGGTAGACTCAAGGTCTTGACTGACTGAACTGACTGACTGAGTAAACTCACTACCACACAGGTGATACAAAAACATCAGGTGGACTAAGAGATACCCAGGAACTAACTTTGCTTGAGGACAGAGAACTGGGCTGGAGCTAGGGCTCAACAGCAGGTACCTAGAATAAACACACACAAAGACCTCTGAACTAGGCATCACCTATGCAGGTGGTTGAAATCCAGAGAGAGCTCACCACAGTGCAGGGAAATTACTGCTTAATATGGGGCTAGAGTACTAAGTACATGAGTGGGGGGGGTTATATACACTTGAGAGCCCTATATAGAGGTTTGCATTTCTAAGCTACTTTCTGCCCAGGTTTTTTTTTCAATTTGTCCTAGCTAAGTTCTGACAAATTCCTGACAAATACCAAGCCTTTCTGAATAGCTCCTATGTGTTCTGGCCCCAGTTCTGGCTTGCTCCAAAGGTCTCGCCCACTCTTTCCAGAGCACCAGATTCTTAGGGGCCCAAATGCCAATTTTTTCTCTTTTCAAACGGTAGCTCCTATTTTGCAGGCCTGGGTCTGGTAGCTTCTATCAGGGCCATCAGGACCTGTCTGGGTCACTCATGCTTTGCTGTCTGCCCAGTATTTGTCTCTGTTTGCTCTTATTATGTGTCAACTTGATTTGATGCATGATATCGCATGCCACTGCACAATTGGATTATTAACACAATACTGTTTCACCACACAGCATTGCTTTATATGAGTGTCTACAATATGATGTTTTTCCTGATCGCGCGCTGCTGCACGATCGGGTTTTTAACACAATACTGTTTTATTACATGGTATTGCCTCATATGAGTGTCTACAATATGATGTTTTTCCTGATCGCACGCCGCTGCACGATCGGGTTTTTAACACAATACTGTTTCATCACATGGTATTGCTCCATATGAGTGTCTACAATATGATGTTTTTCCTGATCGTGCGCTGCTGCACGATCGGGTTTTTAACACAATACTGTTTCATTACACAGTATTGCTTCATATGAGTATCCACAACATGATGTCTTTCCTGATTGCGCACCACTGCGCAATCGGGTATTTTTCTTGTTGGCCACTGAATATTGCCATTTGACAGTATTTACATCTGAAAGTGCTCTCCAGAGTGCATTTTACTCTTTTCACAGTGCTTGCAGATTTTTAATCACACAACCCACATTTTAACCACCAACCCCCCTCCAAAAGAAGAGTAGAATCACCGCATGCTGTACACATCGCCGCAGTGAGTGACTGGGCAGATGGTATCCACTCAGAGCGTGTGCATGTCGGCCACCAATGCAGACCACAGCGCTGTGGCGAGTCAGTTTATAGTGTCCGCCCAGAGCACGTACTCTCTCACACAGGTGTTAATGAGCATTTGTAGATGGAGTGATGTCTAATTCGATTCCTGCTGACTCCTACTAGTCCTCATA